ATAACCTCTAATGAGCAGGAATACAGACACATTATTACTAAAACAACGCTATGCAAATCAAAACTTTATTTTCTACCAAGAATCTCAATTTCAGTGGGATCTTCGATTAGTACCGCAGACAAAACTGCCCTGCCTCGCAGGACATTAAAACTGCACAAGTGCAACTGCTAGCCCTTCACTGACTGCTTCAACAGCCTTGTGACTAGTTGCCTTTTACAAGTTTTTTGCTCAAAACATCGAGCCAACATTCACAGGCATCTAGAACGAGGGCTACGCCATACGCCGCGGAATTTGGTTTGGAGGAGCTGTACGCTTACAGATCTGCCACATTTATTGCTCAATACATGGAAGGGTTGCTTCAGCAGAGAGAGTAAAAGAAACGTCAACGAGTCGGGGAAAGCAAAGAGTAGCCTCCCACTAAACTTAGGTACTTGAGTTGCATCAAAAAAACAAACGAGAACTCGATTGCGACTAAAGTCGATCAAAGCACTTCACTGAAATCGTGAAAAGCAACAAGAAAACGAAAATATCAAAGAAGTACAAACAAAAGGTCCGCAAAGCAGGAAAACCGGCCCTATTTCATAAAGCTGGATCTTAAGCAACACTAGCAATACCGACACTAGCTGAACCCCGCAGGACTCAGAAGGTTCAAACGGATATGGGCGTCAACCAGAATCACATTCTAAATAATTACATAACAGACCGCTATGAGAAAAAACTGTCGGCTCGGTAGTCTGTGACCGTACTATTTAAGTCTTAAAAGGATACTAACCCTTAAGATTCATCGGAATACCAGCAAATCATTTGAGATATCATGAAAAGTTCTGCTAGGCCACTGAAGTCAAACAATATCAAAGACACAGCATGTGGCAAAAATGGCAGTGAAATTCTCGGAAGCGCGCTTTGTAATGTTAAAACCTAAGAGTGAAAAAATTCAGCTATTAGTATAGCGTTTGCACAAACCTACTACTTTTATAAGGGGTTCCTACTTTTAAAGCACCAAAAAACGGCCGTACGAGAAGCTAAAAAAGGCTTAGGGTTCAAGGGCTTCAAAAAAATTGATTTTACATCGAAGTTTAAGACCGTCATATATTAAGACCTAACAACTGACTAGAAAACTTAAAATGTACGCAGCATAACATTAAAAGATATACACTTCTATAAACTGTTATGCCAAATGAGTAAAACTCGTCAATGACTACCACTGCTTTAGGCGAAAGCTGAAATTATCTCAACTGCATAATCCACCCAAAGTCCCGAATATGGAAAAAATGGACAGCGTTATGTAGGAGGTTGAGTTCACGGTGCTGCCTAGAATTTGTTCAGTTTCGCCACTAAATAAGAACTTCAATATTTCTTATACTGCTGTCACACAGGTGATCACGTATATTTCCGTCAACAATCAGTTGTGATTAGAGAGCTATATGGAGTAGAAAGCGCTGAATGTCAGATAACTGCGGTAACCGAAAGTGACATATCGAGTTATGGAATCCTCGCTCTTTTCCAACACACGCGATGATTAACCTACCGACACTTCGGTCTCATTTAACTGTAATGAGCATCAAATATCTACGAATATCTACCACGACCACCACTGAACGATTAACAAGAGAGAAAATAGCGAAAGATAAAACAGTCATCGAGCAGCCCAAAAATAAAAAGAACAAGACTCACCTGCTTGTTTAGTAAGGTATAAATTAGAGACAACATTGATTCGAAAACAGTCAGTCAAACATAAACAATACAGAAACGACGCGCAAACCTACTTCGTTATCACATTCCACTAGCACCTGGTCGTATTCAGAAAGGGCAACTAAAAACATTATTGAAGTGACATTTTCAAAGCAGTGTATCCACTTTCGACGCTCGGAACGCTGACCGCCTACATCTACCATTCTAAAGCAGACGAACTTCACTGAAAAGCATGTTTAACAAAACGATACCTAAAAATTATTTGCTCCAGATCAAAAGGGTATTCGATTATCCCCGTGGTGGGGACTCGAACACGCAGTATGTCTTGCTCGGTCGGTAAATAGTTCGGACCAGCTATCCTATCAATGTCATTGAGGTAACTAAAAAACGAAGTTATAAACCAATATAAAGATTCCCTATTATAAAGAAAAGCATACAGAAGACTTACAAAAAACAGATTTAAGCTGCAACCAAAATGGAACATAAAAGCAAGAGCGAAACAATAAAATAAACAGCTGCATGACAGTCAGATCGGAATTGCTAAGTTTGTAATGTAATGTTCGAAATTTGACATGGAATCTTTAAGCACCAAAAACTGCGACACCCATCGCTGACAACCACAATGTATCGTCGTGAATAACACGCGTCGTCAATACAACGCAACAGCGAAACATCTGTCTTCGGGGCAATTAGTTTAGAATTTGTGCAAAAACGATGCTTAAAGTAAATAAGCCGAGACCCTTAACGTTTCTAAAACCGCAAATCTGTGCACTAGCGAAAAATTTTAACACGTTTAGATGGTTTACGCAACAATGTTCCCTTAAAAAATTCTAAGCGAAAAACATACAATTACCACATCTTTCATGCCATACTAAGTCATAACAAAGCAACCACATTCCGTAGAAACTGAAAACCAAAATTAATCAAGCACTATAAAAATTCTTTGCGAGGGTATAGGTGACATCATTTTACAAACAATTTCTTGAACGCTCTTGATGCTGGCTCTCTCTAATAATAATAATACAACAATTTTTTCTTGATTTCTGATTCGACGCATAAATAATTCAAAGAAAGGAAGGTTTAATATTAGGAGTTTAAGTGCGACAGCAAGCAACAACTTCAGGCAAATAGTCATAAGAATAATAATAATATGGCTGCCTTACGGACACTGTTTATACTATCGCGGGGATTGACTTTATGCCTCATAAACGTTAAAACGGCAAAGACTAGAAATAAGCCAATGGAAAAAATCTACATTCGGTTCTGCGACTGACAGATACGACATCTCATCAAAATAATATCGGTACGCTTGCTTCTTGAATATAATTTTCACAGTCACACTAAGTAGCTTTTTTCTCCGAGATGAGTCACTTTGTAGCCTCCTCCAACAGCTGTTTCGGTATTTTCCGCTTCAATTACTCTGGTCGATAATATGGATATTAACTGAAACTTTTACCGTTTTCGTAAAGAAGTCGACACAATGCAAATAGTCTGTTTTTTACTATGTTTGGCAGCATCACTAATTCAGACGAAAAGTATACCTGTACGAAAGTTCTTTATCTACAGTACGAAGCCGAGTGTAAAAGGCATCTTCAGTCATCGCCCGCGAAGGATTTATTTACTTGTTACTCTAACGGCAGCTGAAGCTGTATCAGCCGGAAAAATATGCCCAATAAATAGCCCTCTTGTAACCGGAATGAACGATGCATCAAATCAATTGCTTTTATCAAACACTGTCTCACCTAATTTAATCTGCACCAATGATCGCGCATAGTAGGCCTACTACACTGATTGCGCCCACAGCATTAATTTATTCATTCATTTTTATTAATGAAAAAGCTGTTGGAACGAAAGTACGTTGTAACAGAGCAATAAACTTTACAAACACGCCTTTAAACATTTGCGAATGCTCTGCTAATGAAAACTGCTTGACCATAAACTGCACCGAATTACACCCAGCGCATGTGCTGCACCGTTCGAGGGAATAACAGCATCAACAGACAAATATACAAAATATTCCGTAGGATTTCTTATGGGCGATCCATCCAACATGACAAAGACAAGGATGATATTTTTCATACTCCAACTTCTGATATCTTTCACGAAGCGACGTCATGACTTTTATCCATCTTTACGTGGTTATGTTCCACTCAGAGCAGCTCGGTTACTACACTGTCGGAAACATACTGAATTCGAGTATTAGCCAAATCATTCATCTTTCGATCCGAGGAAGAAAAATTAACACTGTTATAAGGGGAAAAAGCAAGAGACAGCGACACTGTGTGTGCTCACAATCAAATACGGCGCAACAGAGCAATCCTGACTGACGGCAAATTAATGGAGATTAGCGCCACACCGTAAGCTCAAGGAAAACTCTGAACATCGACCGTGTAATGTACAAGAAACCCATTAACTACAGGCTACAAACATTCCTCTCTCATTTATCCGCGATTCAGAAGATGAAAGGTTCAGCTGTATTGATTAGACAATAGTACGAACGGTGATCTCCAATCCTTTCGTCCGCGTGTTTTAGATGCAATGCACTTACCTGGCAGATCCGCTTACGGACAAAGAGATCTGCCAACCCCTGACTGCAACTCAATCGTTAGTTTAATGTTACAACATTTATGATAAAGTTTCACGTCTACAGAAAACACATGTTATTTCACATTGGCCTGCGATCTCATATTTTGGTCACAGGGCGTTTTCCAGACGTAACTATATCAGCCAAGCAATTCTAACGAAACTGACAGGCAACTGAACGGATTAACCGAGATGAAAAACGCAGAAACGCAATTTCTGGGACAGTTACGAATCGAACCCGAAAAACTTCATAGACACTGTGTCGATTTTCTAGCAAGCCCTGTCTCCCATAGCTGAGTTTAAAAACTAATGGCAACATACTACGAAGACATCGTAAAACTCATCACTAAGACAACAGAACCACATACAAATGAAAATATGCAACAAAAACAAGCCACGCCATCCCTATCTTCGACTATCGCAGTTGCTAAAAATAACTGCTGTCAATTTGCAATGTTTAAAAACCTCGCCTCTGCCATAGCCACTCCTGATTAAGCGATATGATAGCTTACAGTTTGATATTCGGCAAATTTAGATATAACTGTCATAAATAAAGGTTTTCCCGTGCTAAAACTGTCTCGAAACTGTCTTCAATTCTAGTGATCAACGTGCAATTCAAAAAAGAATTGACTCTCATTCGTTCACCTAACAACTTTTCGACTTCATTGGGTGCTATCGCCTAAAACAACAGAGATTCCAGCTTTTATTCTCTTGAACCTTCTTTATTCTATTTCGTAAATCGAATATTATTCCCAGCGATTACAAATACAAAACGTCACTCGACACGTGAAAGTCCAAAGGACGATGAATTACCCAGCGCTAATTTTTTCCGCGTTCTTTTTTCTATTCACTCAGTGGGCGCGCTAGAAAGCGACCGAAAGCGCTTACGTACTACAGTACGAAACCTTTACAACTTTCAGAAAAAACTTTAATGAAAAAAACGAAGTCAGATTACTCTAGCCTTACAATTGCCTATGTACACATAACTAGAACAATATTAACAACATAGAGATTAACACTATTCAGTTATTGCGTGAAGATCGAAAGACAAACAATTTTTAAACGGCTTTACTGCGAATGACTAACTCTATGCTTTCAAAACTAGTGCCGGAAGATCAAAATTCAATCCTCAACGCAAAACCTGCCTGCGACAGATCTCCATTGGTCAAATGAAAAGTGTCCGCTTGAAGATGAACTACGTGCCACTGGTAACACACTTCTGTGTGCATCAAAATCTAAAACACGCAAACTACGTTTTATGGCACAAGAGGGGCCTCTACGAGAGATAACAGAATTCCGAAGATATAAAGAAAGTATCAAGAACTGCTGTGACTCATGCGAGAAAAAAAACTAATTCATGCAACTACTAAGCAAGAAAAGCCCTTTAAAACAAATATGCCTGATACCATCATCATAAGTTTCGTAAAAATGCCTTTCTCGTTTGCGAGTACAGAATTTACTGCGTCCTTTAGAAAACATTAATTCGACGCTGTCAAGTGAGAAAGGAAAGTCTGTAACTGTTGTAATGTTCATCGCCTTTACACTTTCATAACAGGTGTAATAAGCAGCATCCAAAGACCACGACCATTTGTTACGAGTGAGGGAACAAATCTGCAATATTTTTCAACGATCCTAGTCAAGCGACAATCAGGAAAGCTTCATGGGCTGGGTTCTAGAGAATGACAGTGGTAAGTGGCCAATGTTAGAGCCATCTGCCTAGATCTCTCTTTTAATGGCCTGCCGTATTGCTACTGCTTCCACTGACACCCGACCACGTATCCAAATCATCGCAGCTGCGATCTTTCAAACTGGAAAAAGAGTGGTTCACCAAAGAGAATACCTCGAACTGCCAGGGTGTGAAGTTTCTCGAGCTTCAACACGAAAGCAGTTAATCGAAAGAATGCGTTTTTACTTGAGGTTGGCTGCATTTGGTATCTGGAAATGTCGCGACTTGGAATCTAGCCTGAAGAGCTTAAACAGATGGCGGATTACCGAGACTGTTAGAAAACCTGCCAAGGCTGCTGCCCCGCAGCTTCGAAGGTGCAGCAGCCAAAGAAAGTGGATAAATGACAATATGGCCATCATATTCTGTAATCTTCCGTTCACCATCCACGTCACATACCATGGTATTGCTTCTCTACCTCAGAATAAAGTAAGGCGGCTGAACTCGCCGTCATTCAAATCTGTTATTTATCGACTATGCTCGCGCTCTATTGTCTAACCTAATATGACTGGTTCTTCAAAACTCTGCTGGTTTTAAACGAATTGAAATCCGCCGACTACGCGATGAGCACGCAGAAACCTGTATAATCGACATCGATTGATCTAATTAGAAACACAATGTAACTTCACACAGCAATCGTAAAACGCAGTGGCAAAAACAAATATTAATCAATAGTTTAAAACTGTCTTTTCACGTCATGCTACACATTACTGACATATCACATGAATTTTACATCATACGAACTAATCAGTCATTGGAAATTTTTGCTTAAGCAAGGAAGTTTGATGCTTATCCTTAAAACATTACAACACTTTGAACAGTTTGTTAATGTAGGAACGCAAAGTTACATAAACAAATCTATTTGAATTGAAAAGACTACCTCTTTGAAGAGCTCCCTTCATTTCCAAGAGCAAAGGACGCGAAAAACCATTCGTCTATGAAATTTTTTGATAATCTCTGTACGATTAGGCAAGAAAATTTAAGTATACCTGATCTTTTTCTACAATCTTTAATAATCGGGCGCATTTAGTAACGAATAACAGCGTAATGCAGATCTCTGATGCTCGACTATATAAAATCGTGTCATGATTTATGGCTAACACGTTCGCTGCCGCGGCAAGAGTAATATTTAT